GAATTGTCAGTTTTAGTACAAGCATATAGATCATGGTGATTTAGTTAAAAGTATGTACATATGATTGAAATATATTATTATTGACTGTATTACCACAAACAAATTGATATCTGTTAATATATGATTTATGCATTATGTTAGTGTTGTTGTATCATTAGATCAATGATCAGAAAGGGAATTTATTAACAATAATGTAGAATTAGTAATTATAATATGAGGTCAGTCCAAAAAGAAATCAAAAGTTTAAAAAGATCTGTTACTTCACCCACAACTTATTCAGACTTGTATCTTTCACATTTATCTCATCTGTGGTTAATACATTGCCCTCAGTCACCTGTAAGGAGAGATGATGTAATTCCCCATTCATTGCTGTATTTTTAACCCCTTCGTGCTGGGTGACGCCGATAGGCGTGTAAACAAAGAGCTCGAAAGCTGGCGTGCAGCCGAATGAGCCGGCGGCGAGCCAATGATTCGGGCTGATGTCCCCTACTCACGCGCTCAAAGTCGGCGCACCGCCTTTGTTTGTTTAAGAGTAGAGTTTTTTTTTTTTCTTTTGTACACCCGGCGCCATTGGGTTAAAACACAAGTCCACTCCTTTCTAACCACTGTACTTTCTAGATTTGGTATTTGTGGATTTTTTTTTTTTTTGTTTGAAAAGCTGAAATTCATTCTGAAAGGTGAACAGCTTTAAATGATAAATGATATACAATAAAAGTTGATTTGTACACTATACCTCAGAATGCATTCTAAAGGTAATAAAAAAAAGTGTTGGCACAGATGTTTCATAAAGTGAGTGTGCCATTGTAAGGAAAGCAAATTCTGAATAAGTTGAGAGTAAACAAATAAAACTTTATTCTCTTAAACCTTTTCTTACATAATGGTATTGTATATTATATCTCTAGCTTTCACATTATGCATGCTTTAGCTTGACAAGGATCATAAAACCATCCTACATTTCCAACAGGACCAGCTTGTTGATGTGACTTTGCTCTGTGATGGTGGCAGCTACCCAGCCCACCGCCTTGTTTTGGCAGCTTGTTCACCGTACTTTCACCAGCTCTTCACACGATTACCCACCCAACATCCTCTCATCTACCTCAGAGATGTGAAGCAGGCAGAGCTTGAAGCCCTGCTGGAGTTTATCTACCGTGGGGAGGTCAGTTTTACTTCTTCTTGTTGTTCTCCGAGTCCCCTTGTTTTTCTCGAAGTGGTGGTTTGTAAGTGTGTAGAATGGAATGAGATTTGGGTATATTTATTGTATGGATAGATAAATATAGATTTCTTTATATGATGAAAAGGTGATTTTGTTGGTGTATATGTATTTTATTTATAGGTTTATAGTGATTAATTCCCATTTTGATTCATATGCAAATTGTAACTGCAATAAGTGTTGTGCTGTACTGTTGCACATTTATTCGGCGTATGACTATGAAATACTCAAATTCTGGTGTGTAAAATTGAGCTCTTGATATACACCAAGGAAAATTTGCCTTAGTAAAGCAAAAATCAGGCTATTTTCAGAGTTTGGAAAGTAGAGGACACCAGGTGAAGGCTTGTAGTTCCTAGGGGTTAATAGATTGGCAAAACAATCTCAATCTCAATGTGTCAATAATGTTGAAGCGTAGGGCACTAAGGGCTAGCGTGTATCATGCTTTAATGAGGGGTCGGGTGCTGGGAGGGGGAAGAGGATGAGGATAATTAGCTTGAGGTGTTTTATGTATGCGTTCACAGTAGTACAAGTGTAAGTTGGTAAAATGTGTCTGCTTTATTTGTGTTTATTATGTGTTGTGGGAGCTTACTCCAGCCATGAATGGTGTGTGGAAAGTATGAGTGTTTGTAAGAATCTGTATTTGTGTGATAATTTATGTATTTCTGGTCATGAGTGTTGCTCATACTGGTTGTGTGTGTGTGGTGTAAGTAATCTTATTTACTTATGTCACTTTCATTGTTTGTGATTTTGAATATGGTTGTTAATCTGTATGCTTGTCTGCATTTTGTGAGAGTGTCCATATATAAATGTTGTTTGAGGATGATGATAATTGTTGTTGTTGTGATACCAGGAGTTTTAGTGTAATTGTATGTAATAAACTTTGCTGCTGGAGTTTTAAGCTTTTTTAATTTACTAATATTTGTCTGTGTGTGTGCATCCCACACTGCTGCACAATGCTCCAGTGTTGAACGGACAAGTGTATTGTAACCTATGTGTTTAGTGTCTTGTGTACAGCCATGTAGGTTCCTCCTCAGGAAACCCAATGTTCTGTAAGCTTTATGTTGTATGTTGTGTGTGTATGTGTTACATTTCATGTTGGTGTGTAGTGTGATTTCCAGGTGTTTGTGTGATAGTGTGTTTGGTTAGTGAATTGAATATGGGAATTTCATAGGTGTTTATGATTTTATATTTATCTGGCTGTAAATTCTTTTGCCCTGTAGCTTCCCATTGCTTAAGGAAGTCTAGGTCAGTCTGGAGGAATTTACAGCTGTCAGGTGTCTTAATTAGTTTAAAGGTGAGGCTGCCATATGCAAAAAGCCTAGTTGTTAGAATTAGGGATGAATAGTGGGAGGTCATGTATGTTGAATAGGAAAAGGAGAGGGCCTAAGACATTACCCTGGGGGACTCCTCAAAAGACAGGAACAGAGCTAGAAATAGTACCATCAAGAAGAACGCACTGAGTTCTGTTAGAAAGAAAAGGTGTGATCCAGTCGACAGTTTGTCCAATGATTCCATAAAACTGGAGTTTTTGTGTCAGTCTTTCATTGGAGACTTTGTCAAAGGCATTGGTGAAGTTTAGCAGAATAGCGTCCACCTTTTTAACCTGTTTCTACTGGGTGAAGAAACAAAATATGAATTCTACACTCTTTGAGTGCGGGAGTTCGCTACATCAAGCTGAATGCCTGGCTTGAAGCGCTTTGGTGTACAGCCATACTCCGCGGACCAAGTGGTTTGTTATGACACTGCAAGGCATGGCCTGACAGAAATGAGTTAACTTGTCTGTCTAGGAGTCTGTAAATCTTGAGAGAGTAACAATGAGTTTGGGTTGGAATCCATGTTGTGTATCAGTTAGTATATTGTTAGTGTATAGATGATGAAGGTGAGGGAGATGGGGCAATAATTTGATGGGTCAGTCCGGTCACCTACCTTGAAAATAGGCGTGAAGTCTGCACAAATTCAGTCGGGTGGGAGAGAGGGTGTTCAAAAGGATTGTGTGAACATGGATTAGAGGATGGAGGTTGAGGATAGGAGCACAGGTTTTGAGGAAATAGGAAAGGATTTTGATAGGTTCATTTGCTTTGTTTGTGTCCATTGATTCTAGTAATTTTTTTATTCTGTCTGTTCTAATGTCTAGAGTCAGGGTGGGTGGTTGGGGGCTGTTTGGTATGGTCTGTGTAATGGGGTTTTCTTGTGTGAAGACAGAATGGAACTATATGTCGAGATGTGCTTCGCATTCTGGTGTGGTTATAAAAGTGCAATTGTGGTCTTCAGTGCAGCTATGTTAGTGGTGTCTTGTCTGAGCATCTTGAAGAACTTATAGAAGTGTCTAGGGTCGTTTTTTACATTGTCTATGAGATATTTTCTGATGTGTTCATGTGAGGTGCTCTTTCGCTCTGTGGCTATTGATATATATTTTAGTGTGGGGCCACAGTGTCTAGATGTTGTGTTGTGGTAGCGTGAAAACATCTAGGCACAAACAAGCAAACAAAATAAAAAAAAAGAGACCGAGCATAATCATCAACTCAGGCAAGGTAACAGGCTTAAGCGCATCTCGAACATATTAATAAAATAAATTAAGTAATTATGATTAACTGATTAAAAGAAATACGAAACAAGTAATAAAAAACAAAGGATCACGTCCAGCTCCTCAGAAATCAAACAACGTCAGCACACAGACTTAACTTTTCTCGGTTTCGGGGGGCATGGCCGCTTCACAGTGTTCCCGCTCACACAGGGTAATGACACACAGGGTATCTGGTCTCAACTGAGTATATTTCACGCCTTTTTTGGCGGTATTTATAGTGTTCGTGTTGTCATGAACTACATCACGAACTATACATCTTTCACATTTATAAAATTGTAAATTTTACCTTACAGATTAAAACACATGTATTTACAGTGAAAAAAGAAAAGATAAAAAATAGCCCCAAGTTAAAATGAAATTTAAAAAATATTGAACCAAAAGATAAAGATAAAAGATGACGAGTATAAAATACTCAAAAGATTAAATGTAATGTAAATGAAATAAAATAACAATTAATCCAAAATACACAGAAAATCAAGTAGAAACTGACTTTCGTGCCTCAATAAATAAATAAATGCAAAGATTGTGTAAAATCGAACAAAAAAAAAGAAGAAAAGAAAACGGCTATAAAAAAGGGACCAAAATAAAAGGCCAAATGAAAAGGAACGAGCAAGCGGGATCCGGGCGCAGCCGAACGACGGGAAACGAGTGGCGAGGGGATGCTCTCGATAGCCCGAGATGAGGAGGACTAGGAAGTCACCTTACATTCACATTCAACCTTCTTTATGTTTTTGGCAAATGTTTTCTGGAAGGATTTAAAGGTGGCCCAATTCTTTAGTGTGTTGTATAATTGCATATGTCTGTAGAGCCTGTTTTCTTTGATGTTGTCTGTGAGACCTCTGGAGAACCAGAGGAGTGTTTTTTTGTGGTATCTGATTGTTGATAGAAATGTGTATGAAGTGTTTCAAGCTATTCCAGTTTTCATCAAGGTGTCAGGAGTAGGGGTCAGAAGATAGGAAGTTGTTTCTATAAGTTGTCATGTCCAGTATGATAGGCCTGTGTCAGCTCTAGAGAAAAGCAAGATAGGTCCACGTCTGCATTTCTGTATGATTGGTCGGAGATTTGTGTCAACAAGAATAATGTTGTGGTCATTTAGTCCTGGAACAACCTTGTTATGTGGATTTTGTTGTTATGAGGAAGAGATCTAGCTTTTGGGCAGTGGTAGATGGCCCCCCGTCGCCACTGTGGCAAGTGGTGTCTTGGTTTCGCATTGATTTGGGTACTGTTTGTGGGAGTAAGAATGTATTTATGATGTCAATGAAGATGTCATGTAATCCATCGGATTATTAGTTTATTTATTTGTCTATACAGTAAGTCCCCAACTTAAGAACATAATGGGGACCGAGAGGCTGTTTGTAAGTTGATTTGTTTGTATGTCGAAAGTCGGGTCTCCATTACCTTTTTTCCCATTGTTTTAAATTTTGTTTACATTTAGAATACCTGTAAATAAATCCCAATAAGTATGACATACCTTATACAGTACTAGACTCTTGAACTATATTCGTGCCCGGGAAATTTGAAGTTTGCTAGCATCTTTCAAACAATTTTTTGGACTTTAGTACTTAAAAAATTTTCTTTGTATATATGGAATGTTCATAAGTAGAATGTTCTTAAGTAGGGGACTATCTGTATATATGTATTTATTTATTACGCATGAACCAATTATCATATCTTTAACCCAATGGTGCCAGGGAAAATGAACAAAAAATGGGGAAAATATTGTGCCCACTTTCTATGTTTTCCGTGAAATGTCTGCCGATAGATGGCTCTGCTAGCGCCTGATTTAAATGGCGGGAAAAACGTATTTTTCACTTGTGCTATGAAAATCGATGATGTTATTTTTATCATAAACATTATAATTTTTATCATTTTTTTTAACATTAGTAACAGCAAAATAAGATTACGTAAAATATTTTGTAAATCAAAGAAACGGGTAAACGGGCGAGACGGGCGTTGCTCGTAACTGGCTCATTGGGGAGTTAGTACAAGTGTTGCCATCTATGTGTAAAAACAATCAAACAAGTACTCACTGTGGGCATAGCACGTACGTACACGTCATACCCGGCACCAAAGGGTTAATCAACAAATAGCTAAGGATATATAAAAGGAATAAGATCCAAATATTTTGATATATTGATAAAGAAAATTGAGAAGAGGGGAAAGCATATTATTAACCCATTGCCGCCGGGAAAAATGAACAAAAAATGGGGAAAATGCTGTGCCTATTTTCTATACTTTTTGGAGAAATGTCTGCCCATAGATGGCTCTGTTAGCACCTGACTTGAAATGGCGGGAAAAAAGTATTTTTCACTAGTGCCATGAATATCGATTGTGTTACTTTTATCATATATATTATAATTTTTATAATGTTTTTTAACATTAGTAACAGCAAAATAAGATAACGTAAAATATTTCGTAAATCAAAGAAAAGGGTGAAAGGGCGAGACAGGCGGTACTCGTAACTGGCTCATTGGTGATTTAGTACAAGTGTAGCCATCTATGTGTGAAAACAATCTAACAAGTAATCTCACAGTGGGCATAGCATGGCAAAATGGGTTAAAACTTTCAAGCGCATTTTTCTTGAAACTTATTTTTTGTATATATTGTTGTTGTTTTTGTTGTTGTTATTATTATTATTATTATTATTATTATTATTATTATTATTATTATTAATTATTAATTTATATTAAATTATGAATTATTATTATTATTACTATTATTATTTTTTTATTATTATTATCATTTTTTTTATTATTATAATTATTGTTATTATTATTACTATTATTTATTTATTTATTATTATTTTTTTTAATAACATAATTGAAATTGTTACTATTCGAAAGTCAAATGAAATCTGTAGACACATTTTTCTTCTTCTTTTTTTCAGGAAAACTACTTTTTTATGTAATGTCATGTTATTAAGGAATTTAGTCAACTATATTTTCCTCAGATTGTCATATATAATGCTTATTGAGTTTATATTTTATACAGAATGATAACTTTTTTTGGAATATGTACCCAAACTGAGTCACATTAAAAAAAAAAAGTACAAAGATTAATGCAATTAGTGTTATATATTATCCCAATCGGCACGGGTGGCAAGAACACATGCCATACCGCCTGTAATATAAGTTCATTTATTGTATTTTCACATAGATGGCTCCACAAGTACTTAGTCACCAAGAAGTCAGTCATCAGTCCAACCTATCTCACCATTTTACCCTTTTCCTTGATTTTCCGAAAGTTTCTTTTATATTATTTAATTGTCTTTAACCTAGAGCTGATGGGCAGGGCATGTATGTACATGCCATGGCTACTGTCAGTTTACATTATTAATTGTTTTTACACATAGATGGCTACATTCGTACTAAGTCACCAGTGAGCTAATTACAAGTACTGCCTGTCTTACTTGTTTTCCCTTTTCCTTGATTTTCAAAAATATTTTACATTATCTTATATTGCTGTTAATAATGTCAGTAGCTTTGTAGTAATTATAATATCTATAATAAGAATAACACCTTCAATATTCATAGCAATAGTAAAATAAAACAAAAATATTCCCACAAGTTCAAGGAAAGATGAAATCAGGTGAGGTCACAAGGTCTTATAATTGACTCCTTTGTGGCTAAGCACTTGCAGAGCCATCTATGTGTACAAACATTTCACAGAAATTTCTAAAATGGGCACAGCATTTCCCAGTGACATTGAGCCAATATTACTAAGATTTTAAGGACACGTTAATAATCATGATATCAATAAGGATAATAATATTATAGATATCAATAGTATGAGAAAGAAAAGCACATTCTCCCACAGTTTCAAGGAATGAGGAAATCAGGCACGGTCACTAGGGCCTACTGATAGACTCCTTGCTGGCTGACCACATGTGGGGCCATCTGTATGCAGCAAAATGCACAAAAAGCAACAGGGGATAGTAAATATATCTGTAGTAATTGGGTTGTTATTATTATTGTTGTTGTTGGTTTTAATTTTATTATTATTATTATTATTATTGTTATTGTTATTGTTATCATCACTATTATTATTGTTGTTATTATTATTGTTATTATTATTATTATTATTATTATTATTATTATTATTATTGTTGTTTTCATTACTATTATCATTATTATTATCAAATTATAATAAATGATGCATTGGTCAATCTTCCTAAGCTAACATACTGACGACGTGGACTCAAGTAGGACAAAAGTATAATAGAATAGAAAACCAAATTTATCAAAACAGTGCAGACATTTCAAATTGTGAGAAATGGTACATGAAATTAAAAGGACTGAAAGCAGTTATGGCTTCAAAATGGTTTTCAAAACAATTATGACTTGAAAGTAGAAAAACACATTCCGCAAAACAGCTGAGACATTTCTAAGTATGAGACATATTACATGAAAATAAAGTACTGAAGGCAAGTATGACTTGCAAGTGGCTTTCAAACCTTTTTTTTCTTCTTCTTTCTTTCTTTCTTTTTTTTCTTTTCTTTTTTTCTTTCCTTTTTTCTTTTTTTTCTTTTCTTTTTCTTTTCTTTTTTTTCTTTTCATTTTCTTTAACTTTTCTTTATAAAGGATATCATAAACTCAAATCTAACTGAAGTATGCTACAATTTGTGGGTAACTAAGAGGCTTACATTCTGTAGTCCCCTAAAGTACTCAAATGGTACACTTTTCAACCTATTAAGAACCATAAACCCTCTAGCTTGTTTGATGCTCCAATTGCAGATTTTTCAGGTTTATCTTAGGAAACTTTTGGTTGCTTAATTTTATGCACCATAGAATCTGTATTTCATATATTATGTCAAATGTAGTGTAGCTGTAGAGCATCACGTATGAGTGAATGTTTAAAGGAAACATTTAATGTATATTTAGATGTTTTTATAAATATACAAATATATAGACAGTAGAAGGCCAATATCATACCAGGTATTATGTAAGAGCATTGTGTTTGGAGGGGTAATACGGAAGAGGAAAAAATAGGGGGTTTGTTTGGGTGTAAGATGCCATGCTCATATGACCACACTCACTACATTCCATTCATAAAAAGAAGGAGGCTGGAGGGAGAGCTCAGGGATAATAGTTTGGAGGAAATTTACCAAGCAGTACTAGATATATTAGTGAACAAGTCATTAATAACAAAAAAGTCACTGAGAAAAGAACAGGCCAGTTTTTGATGGGTCTTCCACTATTATTGTGTGTGTTGCCAGTCATGGCAAATAGGACTTTAGGAATTAAGCTTGGAAAATACAACCCAATTGTGGTCAAGCATTAGCCTCAAAATACATACCTATTGGCGTACTGGCAAAGATCAGCAATTCTCCACCCTTTTTTTTGTCTGGTTAAAAAGGCTTTTCACAGTTTGTATTTCCCATATTTTTATTGCTTTTATTGATTTTAAACACAGTCAAGGCCCTCTAGTTTCTTAGTTGATATTCTAATGCTTAGCCTGAAGGGTGATCATTCCTGCCTGAGTTTGGTTCTGGGCTTTATTAGATGAGTGATAGATTTTTTTTATTATTATTATCATAATAATGATACTACTACTACTACTACTACTACTACTACTACTACTACTACTACTACTACTACTACTACTACTACTACTACTAATATTGATAAGATGTACATTGTAACAAGGTTTTTTTATTGCAATCCCGCAGGTGAGTGTTGCCAACAGTGAGCTAACAGGCCTCATCAAAATAGCAGAGAGCCTGCGCATCAAAGGTCTTGGAGATGTTTCCCAGCGTGATCAGCAACCCCAGGCTGGGGAGAAGAGAGCTGGAACACCTTTCTCTCCAGCCTCCCCTGTGTCCCAAAACAATAACCCCCGACCCAAAAAGGTACCACGTCTTTCTAATAACAACGGAGAATCAAAGGGCCTGGAGCCAAACTTTGCCTCCTTGCTCTCTCCCGCCAACAGCTACGGCCATGCTCTGAACAAGTCCAGCAATAACAAGAGTAGTGATGGATTTGCACAGCTCATGGACTCTGGGTGTCCAGATCTCCCCGAGCAGGAACTAGATAGCGACCAAACCCCAAACCCTGCATGGGACCCATCCCTCTCCGAGTCCAAACTGAGATCCTGCCTCGAGGGCCTGGAGTCTGTCACCGCCGCTCAATCTCTTGCTCAGTCTGTTGCTCACACAGTCGCTCAGTCCATCGCAATCCCTCGAACCCTTTTCACTTCCACCCCTACCAAAGTATCATCAAGCAAAAAAGAATCGGCAGATAATGCCAAGGAGAGCAGCCGCGGCTCCTCCCGGAGAAAGAACCACGAGCCCCAGGAAAGCAAGAGAGGCAAAGGAGGATTGATAAATGCCATGTTGAACGTCAACGCAGACACGGAAAAGGAGGGAAAAGTAAGTGCAAATTTTGTCTTTCTATCTTTCTCTTTTTCAAATAGATGTTTACCTTTTTATATGTTTGGATAATATATCCAGGAAAGATATAATGAAGAAATAGCCTATTAACCATTAAATATTTGTATGTAATCTTAATTGGCCAAGTCCATGTAATATCACCTATGTTTATACAGCCCTGATAAACTTTTTTCTAATGGGTTATTAACCTATTGCTGCCAGATACATGTACTGTAGGTTTGATTGTCAATTCTGTTTACACATAGATGGCTTTACAAATGTTTAGTCACCTAGGAGCCAGTTGCTAGGCCTGCTCGACCTCACCTGTTTAAGCTATTCCTTGAATGTTTGGGGGAAAAAAGTCAAATAATAACATTACTGTTATTAACCCTTTAGATCTGGGTGCATATACAGCAATCGCATGACCAAAATCCAGGCATTAGTCTTACATGAATGGCTACTCTACCAGGTTGGAGCTTGTAGACAGGCCACACATGAACACATGTGCGCAGTGACAATACTCTATGCCTCCTATTTCTGATGTTTTTTTCCTCTTTTAACACATAAGCCTTTTTAGTTTTTTTTACCATTTTCAAATGTCCATATTTACCATTTGATTTGCAATTATCCAGATGGTAATTGACTGTTTTCTTTGCACAGACTCCATATCATCTCTTTAGTTAGTCTACAACTCAGTGCAAATAAAATAGATATATTTAAAGTTTTGTTGTGTTATTACTTTAATTTTTTCGTAATATTCAATTTTCTGTAATACAACCTGCGTCTCCGGTCACAGCACCAGGAATACGATGCTAAGCATGGAAAGGACATCCTCCATGAAGCCAGCACTCTGACATTACATTTCACTGACATTACATTTCACACAAAAATCACCAAATGAATTTAATCAACCTCCCAAGAGGTTTGTGCACTAATACTAATACTAATATTAATATAGAAAAAGGAAATTAAAAATTCAAGGAATGGGGCAAATAGATTAGATCAGGTATGCCTAGTAATTGTTTCCTTGGTGACTCCTTGGAACCATATATGTAAACAAAATTTAAAAACTAAGATCGCAACAGACAGTGCATGTATAGTGGCCCTCCCAACATCACATAAAAAAGGAAGCTCAGGAGTTGGTAATTTTTAACGTAAACGATGAGATCATGTGCTACTAAGGGTAAATCCAGTCCCACAGAAATCTTGGTAATCCATAGAGGAAAAAAAATTTGTGTTTCTTCAATTCATTTCGAAAGTACTTTGAAGCCAGATTCAAGTAACGCAGATCATGAGGTAAGCTGAAAGGCACCGTGATATCAGTGACCCTGAAACGTAATGGAGTTTTAAAGCTTTCAGTACGAGTCGCTGATTACCAATTAAGTCAAAGTATCGTCATTGTAGGAGAAAAAAAGAAAAAGACAGGTTTTGCTTTGCTGTTCTTTTGCTTATTTTCTTGCTTGTGCCGCACCTTTGCGATTTATTCTTTTGTTGCATGTCACCCTTGTTTTCCTCATTTGCTTGCACAGTTTATGTTATTTACATATTTATTGGTAAGTGGTTTGCATTCAAGTTTTTGTTCATATTCCTTACACTATCTTTAGAAAGAAAAATTCTTATGTTGTCTGTGGATCAAACTCAAGCTTTACTCGTAACATTTCTTGTTGAAAGTTGCCAAATTTTTTTGTTTTGTTTTATTTGTGCTTTGATATACTTTTTTTTTCTAATAAGTCTTGATTTATGGCTTATCTTTTTTTTTTCTTCTTTTTTTTTTCCTATTGTTATAATTAGGAGTTTGTAAATTTGATTTCTGTCCCAATAAGATATTATTGAAGTTATGAGATATTACTCTAAATTAATTAGAATATGTTATAATAGCGTAAATGAGATTTTTCTGTTTAATTTTGAATTATTGTTACTTTTTTTTTAATTTTACATATTTACTTTTTTCACTTTTTTGGCTAGAAGTCTGTTTTATATTTGTTTATGTTCATATATGTAGGCTTGAATTTCCAATTTCAAACTGATTTAACCCCCTCATGCTGGTAACACCCCATCATGTCACGCACAATTGAACTACGTTAAGCAATTATTAGCTCGTTTGGCCCTGGCTGCAGTCATTAAGGTGACCCAAACCCTCCAAAATAGCCTTAAAACCATGATTGAGCCTCATTACCTAAGCAATCAGTTATGTCGTGGCCAAGAGGGGAGAGCGCAAGGTAAATTTAAGTTGCAGTGCTCCTGGCATGAGTGGGATTAATCTTGGGTCTTCAGTTGTAGAAATGTCTTTCATATACCTAAGGAGTTAGAACAGTTGACACGCATAGTAAAGGTATTCGTATCAACACTGTAAATATTTCAACGACACAATTCAGTGGCAGAAAGTCTGTGGCTATGAATGACTTTTAAAGCTTGACTGGAAAGTTAAATTTGAATAAAACCAAAGGTGTATGCTACAAGAAGGATAACCAAGCCAGTCACTTGGGAGTTTATGAAGCTACATTTTTTTTTCTTTCCCTTTTTTTCCCCCCCTTGAACGGCAGGTTGCCAAGGAGAACGTCAAGACCGAACCCGACACGGACAACATCACCACAGACACCGACACCTGTCCCGAACCCTCTCCCCTGCCCCTCTACGACACCACAACTGACATCGCAGGATCCATCGGGGACCTGACAAACCCCATCTTTGCTAGCTACCGCCACATGCTCAGTTTAGGGAACGATGACCGCTCGTTCTCCCCCCTGATCCCAACGACTGTCCAAGAGCAGCAGCAGGTCCCATCGCCCACTGGGAGGGAGTCACGGGTGAGTAGTTTTGGTGGAGGCGTGATATGGATTAGATATGGATGCTATGAACATATGAGCACATATGTGGGTGAATATTGTGTATTACTATATTAACTCAAGTGGTAGTTCTCAGGCTTGCACATTATGTTATAAATGTTTAGGTTCAGTTTCCTTAATTTGTTATCCCTTAGAGGACACAAAAGCTCACAGTGCTTGAAGTTTGAACATATGACTAATTAAAGCTGTCATTTCCATCATGGAATTGACCTGCAACACTTTATTTTGACTATGTCCCCATTTGTTGAGGGTGGAGTAATGGCATATAAAAAAATGTTTTGAAAATAAGAATAGACATTTTAAAAATTATTAATGCATAAACTTTGAGCATCTGAAGTCCATGTTATATTAAAGCATTTGAAAATGAGGAATATCTAGACAGGGTCAAGTGTTGTTTGACAAATGTGTTCATATGCATAATTGAATATGAAAGTCTAAACTCAGTATATCATTTCAATTGTAATAATTATCAATTTAGAAATCAGAAAAGCAAGATGTTCAAAGGAGTTGACAGACAAAGGAGAAAGACGAATACAAGTTGTTGTGCGCATACAGGTTTTCTGCTATTTCAATATTTTAATGTTGCTGTAGTAAAATGGTGGTCCCATTCTTCCATTACTTCATAATTACCATCATCACTATATTGTCTAGTTTTAGAATTTATTTGCTCTTTTGCTTTGTCAAGATCTTTCTCCTTTACATCCTTCTTTTCAGAATGTTTAGTATTTTTAATACAAGGGAGACGACCAATGTATTTTAATTTATTAATGTTTATTTAGTAAAGTTATAAGTATGGAGTACAAATAGAACATCATCAATGCTCCCGTTTAACACTACAAGTAAGTGATCATCACAACACCAGAAAAACAGAAATAATGCCCACATGTCACGTCCTCAGATAGATCTCTAATTCAGATAATATTTCCAGAGCTTGACATGTCAGTTGTGTGGCGCAACCATCAAGCACATCGCCAACTTCCGCCGTCACATGAAACAGCATCTCAATCCACGTCGCTTCCCTTGTCCCTGGTGTTCTGCAGCATTCGGACGCAAAGATAACTTGAAGACCCACACACGGTGAGTAATTCGGAACGAAGGAAAGGAAGTGTATTTGTTGAAAATGGAAGGAGGATTTTTTTTTTTTTTTTTTTTATCTATTTATTTATTGATTTATTTATTTTAAACCTTACCTTACCTTTCCTTTGCTATACTTTTAACCCATTGAATCTGGGTGCCTTGCTGACCACAAGTGGCTCAAAATCCAGGCATTAAGCCTACCTGATTGGTGGCTCTCCTGAGTGTGTGGCTTGTAGGCTGGGCAGACACGAACACTCATTTGCAATGTCAAAACTCTTTACCTCCTCTTTGTAATGCTATTATCTCTTACTTAGGATAAGCATTTTTGTTTATTTGCCATTGTCAGTATTTGTCATGTATTATGCTCTATGAAGCTGGTAATAGACTGTTTCCATGCACAGACTCCATATCATCTCCCTAGGTAATCCGTGACTACCTGCATTTGCAATAATAATAAATGATATTTTGTTATTTTGTGTCATTTAAAAAAAAACTTATAACATTTATTTTTTTGTAATTCACCTTGCACCACCAGTCATGGCAGGCAGGAATAGGATCCTAAGCATGGAAATAGTGGTGCTCTTCCACTTGTGGCGGAGGGATGGTACATTCCACTCTCATTTATTGATGGAAATAATGCAAGAGCCACTTCCTTAATATGCACCGAATCTTATGATCCACTTTTGTATTTGTTGTGAGTCATTCCTGTCACCATGGCCTGGCCTTTTCCCATAATTGTATGTTCATCTCTCTCTCTCTCTCTCTCTCTCTCTCTCTCTCTCTCTCTCTCTCTCTCTCTCTCTCTCTCTCTCTCTCTCTCTCTCTCAGTACTGTGTTACTGGTTGCATTCCTGACCTACCTGCCTTTTAGTCCTAGAGATAGTAGACTTATCCACTGTAAAAACTGCTGTTTGGTATCTGGATCATAGCGTAAGCCCAACACAGCACTAGTGATCATCCTCTACATGAAGATTTGGTTAGCCAAATTTCTTGATGGAGATCCTCACTGATTTCTTCATGGTGCTGCGTATATATGGGGATCAGGTGCCTGGGCAGAAATTTAGCTTATTTAGATAAAAACCTGTTTGCTTGAGCTGATCCAAGTAATACACTAGTAATGTATCTTTATTGATGGTGATCTTGATGCAGGAATTTGTTCAATTTTAAAATAATTAGGGAGGGGGTTGCTTGTCATAGGATGCCATTAGATTTTATTGTTTTGTGATGTTCTACATCTCTTGAATTCTATTACCACTCACAACTCCTCACCTAGCCTATAGTTTAACCCAATGCCGACAGGCGTAATGTGTACATGTATGCCATGCCCAATGTGAGTTTACTTATTTAATTGTTTTTCACCCAATGGTGACGAATGAAGAAAACAAACAAAAAAAAAAACAAAAAAACTATCAATCACTGGCAGAGCGCCGACTTTGAGCGCGGGAGTTCGGTGCATCAGGCCAAACCACCGGTTTGGTGCGCTTTGGCGTGTCGCCACGGCGTATAGCCGCACGCCACATTTCACCCGTAGTGAAGGGGTTAAACAGATGACTACACTTGTACTAAGTGTCCAATGAACCAATTACGAGTACTGCCTGTCTCGCCTTTTTACCCTTTTCTTTGATTTACAAAAATATTTTCCATTATCTTATTTTGCTGTTGCTAATGTTTATAACATAGTAATTATAATGTTTATAATAAAAGTAACACCATCGATATTCATAACTCTAGTAAAAAATAAATTTTTCCCACCAGTTCAAGGAAAGGTGAAATCAGGTAAGGCTAAGCAATAGCAGAGCCATCTGTATGCAGAGACATTTCACAATAAATATAGAAAATGAGCACAGCATTTTCCCCATTTTTTATTGATTTTCCCTGGCGGCATTGGGTAATTGGTTTAGGACTGCTGGAATATTTCAGGATTCTCCATTGCCAGTTTCCAGAGTTTAACATATAATATAAAGTATTCTCTTTTTTCAAGGCAGAGGTCTATATTAAAATCAATTAAGAAGGTAAACCTGATCACAGAAGAGAATGTAATCCAGATCATACTATTTACAGCAAAATTTCACATGGTATACCTATCCACAACACTTGTTGTTTCCTCTTGCTGCATACACAGTAAGATATTTTATCCCATCTGCCTTAGTCTCTCTTTCTGATAGTTTTCCCTTTTTTTTTCTTTTCTTTTTTTTCAGTTAGTTCCCCTATAAATTGATATAGTAAATTATAAGTTAGTGAAGGGGTTAAACAGATGACTACACTTGTACTAAGTGTCCAATGAACCAATTACGAGTACTGCCTGTCTCGCCTTTTTACCCTTTTCTTTGATTTACAAAAATATTTTCCATTATCTTATTTTGCTGTTGCTAATGTTTATAACATTATAGTAATTATAATGTTTATAATAAAAGTAACACCATCGATATTCATAGCTCTAGTAAAAAATAAATTTTTCCCGCCAGTTCAAGGAAAGGTGAAATCAGGTAAGGCTAAGCAATAGCAGAGCCATCTGTATGCAGAGACATTTCACAATAAATATAGAAAATGAGCACAGCATTTTCCCCATTTTTTATTGATTTTCCCTGGCGGCATTGGGTTAATTGGTTTAGGACTGCTGGAATATTTCAGGATTCTCCATTGCCAGTTTCCAGAGTTTAACATATAATATAAAGTATTCTCTTTTTTCAAGGCAGAGGTCTATATTAAAATCAATTAAGAAGGTAAACCTGATCACAGAAGAGAATGTAATCCAGATCATACTATTTACAGCAAAATTTCACATGGTATACCTATCCACAACACTTGTTGTTTCCTCTTGCTGCATACACAGTAAGATATTTTATATATTACTGTTTATCCCATCTGCCTTAGTCTCTCTTTCTGATAGTTTTCCCTTGTTTTTTCTTTTCTTTTTTTTCAGTTAGTTCCCCTATAAATTGATATAGTAAATTATAAGTTGATTAACCATAGGAAACACATCATTGAGGGGCAGCTATTTGAAGTAATTGAAATCAACTCTCCTAAGAAAAAAAAAAAAAATCTTCATTTTTATGTTACAAATTTCATGGTTTTGAATGCAAGACTGGACTTAACTTACTCCATTAACCTAATGGCAACGGATGAAGAAAACAAAAAAAAACTCTATGCTCTGGCAAACAAAGGCGGCGTGCTGACTTTGAGCGTGTGAGTTCAGTGCATCAGCCCGAATCACTGGCTCGCCGCGCTTTGGCGTGCCGCTGCGGCGTACAGCCGCACGCCAGCTTTCGAACGGTTTGTTTTCACACCTGTCGGTGTCACCTGTCAGGAAGGGGTTAACCAGTATCTAAAATGCATGATTGTATGACTGCTAAAATGGAAAACCAGAATAAAAGAATGCAGTTTCAATAAATAAGGTTGAGATATTTTACTATGGGTGACTCAGATATTAGCAGGTAAACTTCTTGCTAAGGCATGTAATTTATTATTAGTGAACCCAGAAACTGAAGCAGTTTGGAGATACCATCGGATTGAAACTTGGAGTGATCCAAGAAATCTAATCAGATTCTTTTTCTCATCTTTCTCCAAAGTGGTTTCCTTCCTCTTTCAGTATCATTCAGGCAGCAAATGTCATGGTGATAGTAATTGTTATAAGACTGTTGCCTTGTGTCTCTAGGAAGCACCATCCAGCTGAGGTTGAGGCCCAGGAAGCCGGCGTGTTACGAGCAGAGAGCGCTAGAACAGACAGCGGGGAAGGCGGCGAGGATGGCACGGTCCTGACAGGTCTGAATGGCCTAGAGAGCGAAGGGGGCGATGGCACCGCACCCGAAGACGGCGACAAGGAGGACGTGGACCGGGAGGACTCATCAGACCACCACGAGAGCTTGGTGATCGCAGAGGACACAGAGGAGGAGGAAGAGGAAGATGATGACTCTCACCTTCAGGTGGAGAAGGCCTCTTAACTGCCCGGTAGCCAAAGAACCAAACAAGAACTAGGATACCACTAGGGCAGGTCAGGGTTTTTGCAGCTATTATAGCATGTGGAGGGGAAAGAGCTACAGACAGACAGACAGAAAGAATGATCCATGAACATTCTTCAGTATTCTCTGCAGAAGATTTTTTTGAAAAATGAAAAAAGCTCGGCCACCTCCTAGGATTAAGGTGAGAGGGTTTTAAAACTGCAGAGATGTTCTAACATTTCTATATTTTAACACGTAGCTGTGTTTGTAGCCGGTAAATTTTACAGTGCCTGTAATTGATAGAGGCAGACAGAGTTTGTTGCAAACAAATATTTTATATCTATGACAATATTTGATATGCCTTAATATTCAATTATTGAATGATTCACAGTCTTTTGAAGGTTCAGGAATTTTGTATGAGATTAAAAATTGTGAAAAGCCTTGCCTCTTTGCTCATATCAGTACAGCCAATAGACACATCTAGGGTGTTTTACTGTACAATGAACTTTTCATATTTTGATGCATTGATGACTTTAGATTTCGTACCTAGTAGTGTCTAGTCAGAAGGAACTTACCTTGTATGTGTGTGTGTTTGTGTGTCTGCATTTCTGCGAGTGTGAAAGTGTGTTGATTTGAGTACAAGTGTTACAAAGAAGCTGCAATAATAGTCTAGTCTAAACATTGCCATATATACCAAACACTTTACTACATGATCACTCTTGTATGTGTATTATACGCTTGTACTTTGCTAATCAGCTCTGCTGTCGGGAAACTTGCCGAGTTGGAAATATTACGAAACATTCATATGATTTCCATAGTTCGTCCTTTCTTTGGATTTATGTTTTATATACTTGTAATGTTAGCTTTTCCTATCTAATATTACCATTATATATTTTATGCCTAACCTAACATTATATCCTTGAGGAACTTGTAATATATAGTCATATATTTTTTCTGTTAAACTTTTGAGCGAAGGGACCTATTTGTAGGCTGATTAAGCAGAGTGACATTCAGATTATGCATACAAAAAGAGAGTAGCTTATGCTCACATACGAACCAAAGTGTCTAATAGGAAATTGTAAAAACAGTAAGTGGTTCTTGCTGCCTGGTAAGACATTTCTTCAGTCATAAAGCTTTTGAAAGTTGTTTTGTGTTGACTCTTCACAAGAACTTCCTTTTGATTTCAAAGCTTGTTGTTTATTTATTTGTAATTATTATTACTATTTTCTTTTTCTCTCCCTGGTATGCTGGAGTAGCATTTTCAAGACATTTCAACCTAGTCTAACATCATTTTTACACTTTGGTTATAGTCAGTTTTTGCTTAAGCATTGCGAGAAGTCTATGCACCCAGAGTAGAAGACACAAAGTTTTCCCACCGCATGAGTTCACAGTACCAAAGAAAGGCACGTGTTTGCAATTGCTTCTCAGAGAAAGAAAATATAAGAGTTTGGTTCACTGCATCATTGCATCCTAAAAGTGCTTAATTCAGAGTCTTTAAATCTGTGTGTGCATTTGTAAAGATGGTATTAGCCAGACCTGCATTTTAGAATGGAAATTCATATAATAAGATCCAAATATTAGCCATTAGTCTTTTTTTTCTGCTCAGTAATGTATCCATTAATGGTCAGATCCTTTGCAACTTCTTGTAAAAGAGCCAGAGAGTTCAACCTATATGCACATTTTTATAGTATAATGGAAAAAAATATTTTCTCCATGTACACTAAAAATGATATATGGTTCATTGGTTCTCTATAATGAAGTTTTTTATGTATAGCCCAAATTAGGAAGATGTTCAAGAAGTACTGTACTTAATTACATATAATGCATTAATACTATTTATTTCTCATATTTTACAATGTTCCTCTTGATTTGTGGCCAAAAAATGAATCAAATTTCACCATATCCCAAAGGACATGACTGTTAATGGAATATATGCTGTCTGCAGAATATTTTTAATCTGCTTTTGAATTGTAAAATTATTTATCCATGATGTATATGCAAATTGAAAAAAAAAAAAAAATTGAAAGAGATATGTTACGGTAAAAAAAAATTAGTCCATTCGTTAATTTTGCTGCTAGTCTGGACATTGAGGTTGTTGAATGGTAATCAAAAATTATTTTAAGGTCACTAGTCAGACAATAAGAATAAGAAAAATAACATTTTGGCAGTACTAACAAGTCAAGTGGTATGAATTTCTTTCACTAAAATTAACTAGTAGAAGTGTGGTGGTGTTGCTCTCTTAACAAATATATGGTCTAGTCGTTATGAAGCAGGAATCACTAACAACTAACTTAAAGAAATAACTAACCCAGTCAATTATCTGACACATTAAGTTATAACAAAGAACCAAGCCTTTATTACAAGGAGCTGTGGAGACCTTTTTGAAGAGTGGAGTGATATTGTAAGTTCTGATGATGAGAATACTGTTTTTTTATCAATTTTTTTGTTTTAACATTTCTATGGCAATAGTAGCTGTGTTTTAAGAGAACAGATATACAAGATAGAAACAAAACCAGATTCTGGTCTCTTTGGGGAAAGTAATTTGAATTTTGTCTAATTTACTATTGCGTTCCTCTTCACCACAACTATGAAGGGGCCTTATGACGTGAAAGGGATGAATATAATGATGTTGATAAGAATTCTTATAGATTTTTTTTCCGTTTTGATTTGAGTGTGGTAACGTGTAGTTTGGATGTCTTGTATAGTATGGGGGTAGCTCAACTTACTCTAGGTATTATCTGCTTCAGGTAATCCATAAGATATATTAACTCCTCTTTGAAATGTGAGAGTGTGATGTAGTTACTACAGTTTAAGGCAATTTGACAATCTGCATCTGTGTCTGATTTAGATGATGACCATTATTATTATAATTTTTTTTTTTTTTTTCTCTCTTTCTTTAAAAATCTGACACCTAAAGCCAAAATAATACATTCGGATCCTTGTTCCCGTGTATATATTTCTCCATGATTCGGCAATATGTCAGGTCATTTTGTGATTATTGTAGGATTATTATTTATATTATTATTATCATTAGATTAATAAGACGAAGGTTACAGGAGGATGTTGCTTGTACGTCTTTATACAAAGTCTTAGATTTTTTCTTTTTTCTTTTTTTTGATAAATATTATTAATACATATACATATACATGTTCATCTCGCGGTCTTAGAGTGTTCCCAATTCAAACTTTGAGAAACCAAGCTGTGTTATATAAGTAATAAAATGAAGAAAAAAGAAAAAAAATTGTCAGCGAAATGCAGGATTACAATGCATAGGTATGAAGTATATCATTTACATTGTGTGTTTCATACATGTAATAATACCCTTGTGTAATTTTTATAATAGATGGATAACCTATATTACATAACACTCTTTGTGCATGTAAATTTTTGATCTGTGTTGTTTGAATTGTTATCAGACGTAGCCACAGAAAAATGCAAATTTTTGGGCCAAACAGACCACATAGAATTTGAAATAGATTAGAGAGCTGTAAAAGCTGCATCTGAGTCTTTGTATTTTATAAAGTTTGAATGTAGTTTAGACACTTAACAAGAAGCCTTTGGTATCATAGTGCAAATTGTACTGATGCACATTAATGTCACTGTGACATGCATTTGTAAGGTAATACTTTCTATAGATATATATGTATATAAAACATTTTGTATGTGCATTATATACATGTATCCTTCTTTTCCAGTGTTAAATTACTTTCTTGTGTAAGGGATACCATACCAACAGACATACCACGCAAGTCCTATACATTGCATTTGTGATATATTTTAGAAGAGGGAATATACTGTATTTTACTTATTTTTGATCCATTAACCTATGTCATGTGTATACCTTTTGAAAGATGCAATTTATGCCACACACTCTCTACGTGTTCCCTCTCTTTTCTTCACTTCAAGGTTGTGCTGGTGGATAGATGCTCGGGCCAAAGCCTTTCTTTACTTAGCTCTTGGATTCCTTTTTTTATTGAGCACTTTACATGAAGCTCATGGGTGTATTTTGATGTTTTTGTTTTTTTTCCCTTTCTAGAAGACCAACAAAATGTGTTACTGTATTGTTACAGCAGCTGTGAAATACACAGTAGTGCATTATGCATTTACCTTTTTTTTTCTTTCTTTCTTTCATATAGAGTAAGAGTATTTTTTACTTTTACTTTTTTCCCCTTTTTACATTGTTAGACGACTGTGCCATCAGGATTTTTATAGTGTCCAAACAGGGGATGTAAAAGCATATCAGAAATAACATTGAATATTATAAGCAAGTTTTAAAAGGATTTTCAGTGCTTCCTGAGAACTACAGAAGGTCCAGTATAAAGAAAGGTGTTATCATCATGCATGGTCAGTGACAGTTAGATGAAGGTTGAGCCAGTGTGTTTTAAGAGAAAAGGCATGAATAGAAAGAGAGAGAAGGGATCCATTGTAGATTATGACCGTTGCATCAGTAGCACCAAGGAAATGTGTACTTAATTTGTGAAACTATATTTCCCTTGTGAGTTTTTAATTTTATCTGTATATTTGTATTCTTAATAGGTAATGAAAGAGACATCAAGCATATTCATATCATTAATTTATTCTTGTTAAAGTGAGACAGGTATCAGAAGATATTGTCATGCAGTAAGGAGAGAAGGGTAACGAGAAGCAAAGTGTATTACAGAATGAAGAGGATTGATCCCGCATGGAACAGACCTGAATTTCCATGACTTCTTGCTTGGTAATGCAAGACCAAAAGATGCAACTATTTTGTGAATGCAACCTGGTATTTTGTTTTTATTTTTATTATTGTAATGATAATGATGATACAATTATGGTCATGTTTTTAATCTTTATTATTATTTTTGGATATGTATAGATAGCTGTTTGTCTTGTGTTTAATTATAATATCTGCAGCTCATAACGTGCCTTACTTAACATATTAGGTCCTTAGCCAAGTAGGAGCTGCTGGGGTGTACAAATGTGACCTGCAACTTTCAGCCTTAGATAGGATACCCATAAGGTTCCTTTTCCAATAAATAGTTTAGTGGGAAGGTGAGATGTGTAGGAGTGATTATTTTGCTGTATTTTGTAACTCTTTTAAAAGTCAGTGTGTGGTATTGTCCTAAATGCTTCCTGACTATAATTCATATTATTAATGTCTTTCTGTATCACTCTTGTGAACTACAAAATTGTTTTAGAAGTGGATATTTTGAGGAAATTCCTGAAAGAAAAAGAAGATAGAAAGTATATTGTTCAGTACAGTACTGCATTCTGTTAAAAGTAAGACTAAACAGTTTGGTTAGCACTTCAGCTCCAGTAGATGCAAAAAATAAAAAAGAAAAAAAGTAAACTAGGAGACCCATGTGGGCATTTGTTTCGGGTTTTTATTTGATTTATCTTGGCATGGTGAAGCTTTAAGGAAAAAAAAAATCAATAACAAGTGTGACTGTAATTTTTTGCTTAGTGTAAAAAGAGGCTGCAACAATGCAATGCAGGAGCTCAAGGGTTAGAGAGTAGTGATAGGTTTCTTTTTTTTATTGTATGGTGTAAAGAGGTTCAACTTTAGAAAAAAATGTTATTGAACTGATTTATTTATTCGTAATTGATATTATAGCAGATGACCATTGGGAAAAAAAAAATGTTATTTAAAGGTTTAGATGTTCACACGTACTTGTACTTTCTTTTTTATTTATTATTATTTTTTTTCATACATGCATGCAGACACACACACACACACTCACTCGCTCACTCACTCACACTCACACTCACTCAATCAATCAATCAATCAATCACCCACACTCACTCACACTCACACTCACACTCAATCAATCACTCACACTCACTCACTCACTCACTCACACTCACTCACTCACTCACGCTCACACTCCCTCATTCAATCACCCACACTCACTCACTCACTCACTCACTCACTCACTCACTCACTCACTCACTCAATCAATCACCCACACTCACTCACTCACACTCACACTCACTCTCACTCAATCAATCACCCACACTCACTCACACTCACTCACTCACTCAGAAGTGTGCAGACAACGATTTTTCTTTCATTCTTTTTTTAGTATTTATATATTTCAATAGGCTAAAGATTGCCAGACTTCACAAGGATTACTTGGTTAAAGAAATATGCAATTTTTTTTATATTAATCATAAAAACTTTGAATTACCTGCATTATAGTAAAATGAATAATAATAATAATGATAATTATAAGGGAGGGCAGAGAGTATAAAATGTATGCTAACCATCAGTTGAAATCACTGGAATAGATTTTCCTTCTTTGTCACTGGAACTATTCATATGCAAAGTGTGCAACTATTTTGATTTTGATTTTTTTTTTTTTTTTTTTTTTTTTTTTTTTTTTTCTTTCTTTTTTTTTTTTAAGGTGAAGTTGTTTGCTTTTCAGGGTGTTAGATTTCCAGTTCCCTTTCAAGTCATTTTTAGGCAGAAATACATAGCCTATCTAGTCAGAAATTTCCGAACTCTTAACAGGGAATCTACCGCTTGTGTTAAGCCAAACACACATTTTGAGAATGCAGCTTGCAAATGAAAGGACATGATACATTGCTCAGTGTATTGATAATATTGATTAGTCACTTGTGTATATCTTTGGTTATTTGGGACTGTTGGGGATAGCTGCGTGCATGTTTGTGTGTGTGCACTTCAGTAGAGTTGTGATTTAGTTGGTATTAATTTGATTGTAGGGTACAAACAGATGCCGAGTCTTGCTTATTTGTGTTTCTTTTTGTGGGGATCCAGTTTGGAGATTTTTATAATAATTATGATTATAATTAAATCACATTTCCACAAAGGAAGATGATATTTTCCAAGTTGCTCTCGACAGGTAGATGGGACCATTTTTTTGCTTTTTTTTTATTTTTTTTTTATTAGGTCTCATTGTGTCATTAACCTTTGTGGCTGCACCTGCAGCAGTTGACTGATTTAAGGCATTTTTAACCATTTGATGGAACAGTGTAATTATTGCTGAGAGTTTGTGGTTTTATGGCTGTTGATTTAAGTGTTATATTAATTTTAAAACTTATCAGCTGTCAAGAATGTTTAAATATGCATGTGGATTATATATTTTTTCATAATGAATTCAAAACTATTGTTGTACATGCAATACATGTAACTCTCAATGAATAAATGATGTTATGGCAAAATGCCTAATAAAGAGCTGTCAATTGCTGTCAATGCCGGTCTCCCACCTTTTGCAGGGCAGCGTTTGTAGTGCTGCACTTGTGCCCCACTTTTTATTCAGAGGCTGTTTTAATGTACTTCACTAGTCAGGATGTATTTAATGTATCTTTTATATCATAATACATGTGTGATGTGTGGATTATGTGTATTTTATTTATCCCTATGGTCTAATGAACAGAAGATGGCAAAGGGGCTATGTAGATGGAATGCATAATTTCAGTATTGCAAACAATCTATGAACTTTTATTTTTGTATTTGCATTATAATCCTTCCCAGTCTCTTGCATTTTGATTGAAGAACTTTAACAAAAATTTTCTGCCACATCATCTAATGTCATTTGCAGTTTATGAAAAATATAGCATTAGCATGGGACTTGTGGGCAAAGTTTTTTGGTTCATAGTTTTGTGGATATCCAGACACCAAAGGTTATATAGCATTTTCATAAAGTATTGTGGGGTAAAGGGTAAATATGATCAGGATAAGTGGACAGAAGAAGGGGATGAAGTAGAGAAGGAAAAGGAAGGGGGAAGAAGAAAAGACTACGCAAAAGTAGTTGAGGCAAGGGCAGAGGACCAAGGTAGAGGTGATCCCCTACAATAGGCCTCAGTTCCCTCCCCTACACACACGAGCAAGGGATGGGGGAGGGGGGGGGAGTGAAAAATTGAAGAAATAATTTTTGCTATATAGAGCACTTAGGACACACTTCAATATTTAAAATGTATAAAGTTGATACTGTAATCAGTATCATAAAACTTTGTATTTTAATTTAGCATTACATGTTCAGTTATTTTTTTTTCTATAATTGAAAATTTGCTACATACGGTAATTAGTGACTTATTGAAGACATCAATCTTTGCCCCCAAGCATAGCATTGTAAAAGTTAACAAATAAGGATAATTGGACAGAAGGGGATGAAGGAAAGAAACAAAATTAAGCCCCTCCTACGACAACCAGGAATAAAGTACGAGGGGGTCTTCTATAATGCAGGATCCTTCATACAATAGCTAATAATTTTGGTTGAAGTAAATAACAGTGACATTCTACTGCACTCCTATACTGCAGTGCCATAGCCATTATGGACAACATATTAAAAAATCTTGTCAATATTGCAGACAAGAAATGCCAATTGCCAGGTTTTAATAGGGTAAGTTAAAGGAAACAGCCTATTAAATAATGTCAATATGCAAATTCTATGAACTTGGTAGAAGGCATTTTTCTACAAGTTTGTTAGAGTTGTTACTGCCAGAACATGGAGGATTCAGCATTTATCTTCAACATTGCAACATAGGTTCTGTTGTGCAAATGTGATATCTTGCAATTTCTAGGTGGCAGGCAGTTTTTACAAGTATCCCAGACATTAAAATTAGACTTTTACTAATGCATAATAGGTCAACTTAAAACCCAGTAGCATCTTTATCAGCCAAATTGTAGTTTCTGAAGTACAACCAATGGTTACCTTTAATTTTAAAGTTAAAAAAGTGGAATATTGCATCTTAGAGCAACCATCGATTCCCCCCCCCCACCAATCAAGAAATTAAAATAGTGCTATCACTGGCCAAGGAGAGAGTTTCTACTTTCAGCACTTGAAATAGGTATAGGAGTGAAAATCAATCTAAGTTTAATTTTTTATTTATATATTTGTGATTATAGATGGGGGTAGCATTACCAATCATGTACGTGGTGGTATTTACAGTTGTCGCCCCCCCCAAAAGCTCCGGGTAGCCTGGAATGTTACCGGAGCTTCTCACAGTTGGGTGACTCACTCCATCCGGTACGCCCTTCTCCTTGGACTTCATCCGTTAGGATCTAAGACCATGGCTAAGGGCGCTCCCTCCTTCTACACCGCCACAGTTAAAGCCAGCTCGCCCCCACCCATAGGGGGTTGAGAGCCGGAAATGACTGTAGTAACTAAAAGTAAGCTTCTTACATCTCCTTCTCGATCTTGATGAGCTCAAGGATACCGTCCTGCATCTCCTTGACAGCCTGGAACTCAGTCAGACCCATGCGGCGCTTGTTGGAGATATCGTAGATGCCGCCCTCAGCCTCAGTGTGCTCACCGCGGGTGCCGCGCACCTGCAGGTTGTACTTGCCAGCGACCTCCTCAAGCTTCTCGCGGTTAGCGGCAAGCTTGGGCAGCTTGATGTGGACGGAGGCGCGCACAGTGGTGCCAAGGTTGGTGGGGCAGAAAGTGAGGAAGCCCAGGCGGTCGTGGTGAGAGAAGGGAATCCTCTTCTCAATCTCGTTCACAGCGGAGGTGAGGCGGCGGAAGACCTGGCCGAGATCACCGCCCATCTGCATGGAGATGATGCGGAGGTGATCCTCCTCGTTGACCCAGACAAGGAAGGTCTTGTTGTCGTTGTGGTAGATGCCACGGCCGGCGGGCCAGTAGCGGCAAGCGTTGGCGGCCTGCAGGAAGCGGTCACCCTCCTTGAAGAGGAAGTGGTCGTCGATCAGCTTCTGCTGGACTTCCTTGCTCATGCCAGTGAGGGGGTAGTAGGTACCCTTGAGCTCGCCCTCAAGGCCGGAGAGGGTAGAGGAAACCTTAGACTCCATCTCCTTGTACTGAGCCTCAGTGAGGCAGGGGTTGAAGGGGTAACCCTCCATGGAGCGACCGCAGCGGACGCGGGTGGAGATGACGTACTTGCCCTCGGGGTCAACGTTCACGAAGGTGTTCACATCACCGAAGTCCTTGTTGGGGTGCTTGTCGGTCTGCTTGAAGCCAACATGGTAGTCCTCGATGATGGGGTCAAAGAGGGGAGCGAAGAGGGTGTAGGCCTCTGCGTCGGGAGCATAGATACCAACACCAGAGTCCAGGTTCTCCACACCTGTGGGAAGACGAGAAGCATGTTCACTAACGACAATTTAGCCAATACCTACAACCGAGTTTTAATACTAGACAATTTTAAAGCAAGTAGTCCAAGCCCACGACTAGTGTGCACCGAGAGTACTGGGCAATGACAGTAGACCAAGGGCACGAGCGAGACGGGCTAACGCTATCGATTCCCGGGTGGACACGGCAGCCATCACCCGCTGCACCAAGGATGCCGCAGGGAGCATTGCAATGAAGGCTGCGTGCACCGCCTTTGTCAACACTTCCCCTCCCTCCCACTAAACAAGCCATTTTAAGATTTTAAATCACATGAAATGTTAATACACTACATTAGAGTTGCAATTTAAGCTACATTTATCATTTATCTCTAATCGCTATCTTACGTTAGACAAAGCCGGAAACTGAGCAACCACGCAAGCCGAATCCAGTCTATTCGGTAGACTGATGCCCAACCTGAATCCCTTCCCTTTAACCCGAATTCTAAGAATCCTCACCGGACTGGATGACGTCGAGGAGGGTGGCTCCCAGGGAGGTCTTCTTGTCCTTGAGCTGGTCGAAGACAGCCTTGGAAAGGTACTTCTTCAGGAGAGACTTGCAGTCAGTGGCGGCTTCAAGTTTCTTGAAGCCAGCCTCCAGCTTCTCAATAACAGCAGCGTCAGCCATTTTGTTGCTTGAAGATTCCTGGCTGTGGAATGAAGAGAAAATACAATTAGATTACCATGCCGAGTCGGAGAGCCGGTGACAACGCAGTCACTCCAACATTGCACTAGGGAAAAAAAAGTTTCCGAACTTCCAACAGGCCTGTAAACAAAGTGCAGGGGATAGGGGAGGGGGGGGGAGAAGGGACGGTGTCGAGAGTGACGCTATGTATGAGCGGAAGAGGATGGCTTGGGGGGGGGAGAGGGGGAGTACGGGGGTCTCCCAACAAACCCTCCATCGCCCCCCCCACCCCCTTTCCCCCCGCCAACAACCAGCCGGCTCAAGTTCAAGGTCTGAGAGCCGGCAGCTTGGTGGCGACGGACGCCGGTTGTCAAAGCTCCCAGAGTGTGAACTTTTACTAGTCTTCACAATAATCAATTTGTAAAGTCTAGCAAAGTGGCGTCAACTTTACTTAAAAATTCGGACATTAAACTATACTAACTGAATGGGGATCATCTAAGACTTGGAACAAAGGAAAATTAGGAAAACAAGGGAAGGGGGGGGGAGGAGAGCGGAGAACATGTTATAAATTATGGAATCTACTGAAAACCAATGAAAAAAAAGGGGTTCCATTAGTAAATTCTGCCATTACACAAGCGACATTAAAAAACGGTCCTTAATTGATCTAGAATTAAATTTGCGCTCAGTCACCATAGAAACTAGTAAAAAATATAATTAAATAAACAGTAACACGCCGGCGAAGACTAGGAGAAAACGTTTATTGCGCAGTTAGGCTTGTTGTGGCAACCAAGGCAGCAACCAATCAATGGAAAGTTCAAACCGGCTAGCGTCACACCGTAGAGTTTCACTGCATTAAAGAAACTATTGTTCAGACTTTCTGCACTAAACTGAAGAAACTACTTTTAAAACAACACCGATGTACAGACAACTTTTTAAAACATTTATATCGAAATTAGAAAACCATTGCTAACAAAATAACGAAGATTTACGGTAAGACAAAACGAAAGTTATTGAACTAAAGTATAGAAACCGATTCATGCAATAAATCGCTTTACATACACACGAATACTGAAAAAAACTTATCGAAATTAAATTAAAACCGTTGAATCTCAGAAAATGAACTTAATACAAGACAAACTTCATAAAACTACAGTTTTAATAAACCTGCCTTCAACTCCAACCAGGAATATATCCCTTGAGAAGCAGAGAGCTCCTTCTGCTTGAAACTTATGTGAAGCCTTATATAAAAAGACTAAAATATCGAGGGCCAATTTTGGTCGATTCAAGTAACTCCTCTATCACTGGAGCAACACCGAAGGCTCCCCACTGACACAATCACTTTAGAAACAATGATGGACAGATCGCTACCACTTCTGCACGATGGAAAGCTTTGCGAGAACCCACCGAGGCTCTGCGCTTGGTTTGTTTTAAAGCGAACTAGAACACTTTGTCGTATATACATATATATATATTTTGTGTGTGAGGCTGAGACACTCGTATGATGGCACAACTGACTGTCAAGAGATTTTTAGCACAGTTTTGGTATCGAATGTTGGAGCTGAGCTGTGTGGTTCACGTACCGTCCAAACACCTCCTCGACTCAGGATGCGAGTGACGAGCAAGCCGGCTTACGGGCTTATATATGCGGCCGCGGGAAGGGGGCGTGGCCAGCGCGCTCGGCCAATGGGCGTGGTCGTGGTGGGGGGTTACCGGCCCCTTCTCCCTGCTTTTGGATCTCCGTCCCTCAAGGAAAAACGCACTTTCGGTGTATTTTCAGCACCGGCCTCCAATCCGGCGTGAAAAGTGGAAATAATGCGACGAATAGCGGCGGATTCTCCATGAAATGAAAGGATGGAGATGCAGAAAGCTATACGTGTAACAGGCACCAAATAGGGCGGGTCTACCATGAGACGATGACGTCACAAGAACACCGCCAATCACAGCCTTAACCACCACTTATATTTAGAATCATTTTTATTTTTGCATGGTTCCTCTGTCCAAAGTTCACAGATTACTCGAAAGGAGACATGGAGGGCAAGGTGGCTGATGCTCTTGATATAAGAAAAAATGAAGACAAAGGGAGAAAGAAAAAGACCAACAGCTAACACCCAAACGACGCTAACAACCACACTACCAGCAATCCATACCGTTTCCCGCATTGCCGATAAAATAAAATATAAACAACTTAAAATCGCAGTACAAGTTAGCATGGACACCTTCACCATAGCAGTTCATTCAAGCAGACATCCAGTCATCAATTACAAGCATATTGCGGGCTCTTCTGTATTCTATAGCGCAAGATGAGACCAAATTAGCAGACGACATGCAATACAGCTAATGAAACTCTGTATTGGCACCTTACCAAGTGGTCGTTACAACAGATAACACGGACAGCAATATCTCCCTGATAATCATTGACAATGGGATGCCCTCCTACCTTGCTGATAAGACGAAAATGATGAAACGAATTGCATTTCTGACAAGACTCAACTTAAGGCTAACTTGCTGATGTTAAAAGATGTCTTTGAGCGTTAACCGTTACCACGCCATCCCCCATGAAAGGTCAGAGTTTGAATTTAAAGTCTATTCTAAACGGGGGCGTGAACTTTTGGACTTTGTAGTGTAGGTAAAGTCAAGATGAGATTACATACAGACGCAAACTTTAACCGTAATTGTACTAATGGAAAATAAAGCATCTCAACAGTGATAGATTACTCAGTAGCTATGTGAATACGGTGTTCCACGGTATACAATGTGAGTGTTTAGACTAAATAACTAAATTCAAACTTAAGTTGTAAACCTACATCTAACCTCAAATTGCCTAATTACAGGAAACAGCAATTTACACTCATCAACATGAACGATAAAAAGAGCGCATTAAAAGTCAACAAATGATATACACATCGCGTGTCTTTAGCAAATAAACTTTTATCAACAACCTTCTTCAAATATCGAAACCCATATTTTCTTCTCATATTCAAGCTGATACACCACAGGTAAAACAAAGTACAAGAGACAGTGCCATTGGTAACCAACTACACATGATTCTTGTATCGACAAATTGCAGAAAATAAATCGAATTTGGCAATGAAAGTGTGATGTTTCCCGCAATCACACCTGATCTTTCTGGCGCATAGTCAAAATTCTACACTCGATCATTTTTGTTCTCTTACATTCTCATCTCTTTCTCCCCCCACCCCCACCCACATACAAGTTTTGTTCCTGACATGGTAATTATGAGAATATAATATTTCTAGAAACGAGATTTATCGCTCTGAAGCCTGAAATTCGTTACGTCCGTTAATAGACGTTTGACACTCGAGGCTGCTCTGTAACTATCTCATTTCTGAACCAACCGCACGTCTCAGATTTATTCACTCGTTCCTATGACTCCCCACCATGAAAATGTCACAATAACAGTTTCGCAGATAATAAACGGAATTTCTAATTCGATTTTCAAGTAATTCAGCTTCAATTGCGTGTTACATGTTGAGATACTGCCATTATTATGTGGATAGCTAATGGGTCCTTAACTATTATATTCAAAGTGATGAAAAAAACATGAGTAAAAAACGAAAAGCATTTTAATTGGATTGCATCTCTTATTCTCTCCACTATCATTAATGTGTGTGCTAAACTGTTTAAAAATGGGGAGGGAGGGAGAGGGAGAGACAGAGACAGAGATAGAGATAGACAGACAGAGACACAAATACAAACACAGAGACAGAGACTAAGACTGGGAGAGGAAGACAGGCTGAGACTGATACTGAAAGAGGAAGACAGACAGACTGAGACTGAGAGAGGAAGATAGACAGACTGAGAAAGGAAGACAGATAGACTGAGACCGAGACTGAGAGAGAGGAAGACAGTCAGACACATATTGAGAATAAGACCGAGACAGACAGACAAAAGCAGAGAAAGACACACTGACAGACATACAGACAGACAACTCGAGAGATGAAAAAACAACATAATATTGCCACATAAACAGCTAACACTTCTTCCCTCCTTTTCATTCACAGAAAAATATAAATACACAAAAATATATAAAAAAAAAACCCTCTGTATGCGGAAAAAAGAAAAGCATCTGTCTGGAAGAAAAAGATTTGTATAAACGCAAAGTTGAAGGTCGCTGTCAGCTGGCGTACCACGGTCGACAGTGCCAAACCATAAAGCATCTCGCTAAAATTACAAGACAAAAATACCCAGTGTTACCATTCTACCGATTTTCCCGCTGCATCTAGATTTTTTGAGTTACGATCTAGCGGAACTGAATTTTAAATAAAAAAAAGTTTTCTCTATATTTTAGAGATTTTTTTAAAGTCCATTTTTTTGGTGGGAAAAGGAGGAACTTTTTACTTTTATGTCTAACGGTTTTTTGAATTCCAGTCCAGTGGTTTTGTATAAATATCAACGGCAACGCTGAAAAATACCCTGTCAGAAGGTGCAACCGGGGTACAGGCCTACCTCAAAGTCACGTCTCTCAGTCCCTTGCGCCAAAGCCGGTAAATGAGAAAAAAAGAAAAGAAAAAAAAGTATTTATATTTTATCTTAGTGCTCCTCATTCTCTCCATGGTCTGCTAGGTTCTTGGTGTATGGTACGGCTTTTACACCATGTTCGTTATTATCAGGATTAGGAATAGGGAACATTAGAATTAGGGTAGATTAGGGGAGCCTACGTCAGGTTAGCTTCGCGCGCAAGCCCTGTGATACAAGAAGACCAACGAGTTTCTTTTATCTCTCTGTCTTCCTCTTTCTCTCTCTCTTCCCTTTTTTCCATGACACGTTCGTGAGGGACAGGGCCAAACTCGTGCCAAAGCTGAGTGCATGACTTCCCTTACTGACGTCATGAAGACTAAGAGTCGGGGAGGGTGGGTGGAAGGGGAGGGGAGGAGAGGAAAGGGGAGGGAAGGGAAGGGAAGGAAAAAGAGAGAGAGAGAGAAGGAGAGAGAGAGAGAGAGAGAGAGAGAGAGAGAGAGAGAGAGAGAGAGAGAGAGAGAGAGAGAGAGAGAGAGAGAGAGAGAG